AACAATTCTCGAAAATAGCATTAAAATGCTAAAATGTAAAATTTATGTAACAAATCTAGTACTATTTTTTTAAAAAGCTACAAACAACTAGCTAGTTTTTTCTAAAGTAAAACTTAGTCTATAATACCAACTTAAAATAGTAAAATAGAAAGATAAATTTGATTTATATCTTATTCTAAGGTACCTGAGAATCAAGACAATTATACTGAAATCACAACATTACAAAGGAAACTATATCTGTAATAAAATATATATAAAATTGTTAAATATTAGATCAGCATCACTTTATTCAAAATAATAAGTAATCCCTTGTTTAACTACATGCTCTATTATTCATTAGTTGAGGGAAGAAGAGTGGGTAAATCATCTTACAAAGGTGAACATAATTTTTAATGGCAACATGTGTGGCAAAGACAGTTTGTAGAATTTTAACTAATGTATTAGAACTCTACCACTAAGACACATGGTAATCAGAACCACGGGATCTTAAAGGTCGGCTAGAATCAAATATCCATTCACACTCCCAAAGAAGGCTGCGGTTATCTCCCTTTCTTGTAAAATATACAGAATATTAAAATAAACTTTTTCCGTAATTTGCCCCCGAAAAAACGTGATTAAACTCACTTAAAGTTTTTTTCTGTGTATGAATAGATGCAAAATATTCACTGGGTTAATTATAAAAAGCAGGTGAGGATGATTACACACATTAATGGTTATAATGTCATAAGTATGCACTAATTTCTTTAACTATCCTGGATGTTCCACCCCATCCCTCTCCCCAAAACAAAACACCAAACCAGTTTAATTCTTTATGTAGGGCAAGAATGGGTCCTTGGTAGTATAGCCAAATATATTAGGACCAGGAGAATATCTGGTGTCATTGTGATTCTTCAGTTTTGTAGTTTATGAATCATCACCGTTGTGCAACAGCAAGAAAGATAACATACAGTAAATGAGAAGTTAGTGCAGCTCCACATGGGTTTTAGACCACTTTAAGGGGAAATGGCTGAATTTCTATGGAATATTAATGAGCAGCTGTAATGCGTCTGGCATTGTGCTAGGCACTCAGTAACAAACCTCAAAATAGGAAGTCAACAGTCTACTAAGGACTTGTGGTAAATATTAAGAAACCAAGACCAGTGGCCCCTAAGGTCCTATTTTGCAGGCGTGGGTTTGCAATCAGTGAGATCATTGCCTCTGGGGAACTGGATGTGCTAATTATGAAGTTCATCCCTGGCAAAAAAGAAAAAAACAAAAGTCTCAGAGATGATCCAGGGGTTAGAGGGGCACTTCCCCCTGAGCAAATGCCACAAGAACTTTTAAGTCTGCTCTCCAAAAGGCAAACTTTCTTTCCTTAGGCTTTCATTTATTGATACATAGATAAGATTGATGGATTGCTGCCCAGCTTGTAAGTATTGTGGAGGGGAAGTGGAGGGAGGCATGTGGGTTAGCAATATACAATGATAACTCAAAACACTCTGTAAGGCTTAAAAGCAAAATCACTTGTCAAATGTTCACTCATCAAAGGGCAGTGTGGCTGTGTGGGAGGAGAGATGGATATATGAAAATAAGACAAAGGATAGGTGAAGAAATGGCAGATAAACTGTCAAAGCAAACTTAAACCCAAAAGAATCAAAGCTTGTGAGAATGTAAAATTCATATATATATTTAATCACTCCAGAAAGCTATCTGGCAAAATTAAAATCACCAAGTCACACTTATAGGCAATGTAGGACCCTACCGTCATGTTCTCTTGTTTCTTCCAGCCCAAAAGCCTACTGTTTTCCTAAGCATAAGGCAGATTAATATAAGAACTCCTAGGCTACTACTCCACATATCTCCATTTCCTGCAGCCCATCACAGACTAATTTACTTGCCACACAAAACATGCGTGGCTCAATAGATGTCAAGAGAATGTCAATCCTCAGGCCACCAAAGTCCACATTTACAATTTATCAAACTATTTCAATAACCATTTAAAAGTGTATTGAATTTAATTTTAATAATGCAACCAGTGATACACATTTTACCTAAAGTCTCTCAGATGCAGTTTCAGGTCTTAGTGACGGTAAATCTCTGGTAACAGATCAAATCCAGGAGGCAGGGCCTTTCTCAGTCAAGAGGATGGGTGGTACTTTCAGTAGATCCTTGTGGTTTGTTATCTCATCACAAGGCTCATGAATCAGATATACATTTACAGATAAAAATACAAGTGTCAGTGAATCTTCTATTAGTTAAGCTGGGGTGACTGAGTTATATGATCAACCCAGCATTCAAGTATTTATTGAGAGCCTACAATGGGCCCAGAACTGAGCCAGGCACTATAAATTTCCTGTGTTTTTATCTTTACATATCTTATTTAATCCACACAACTCTTTGGGTTACACAACCAGATAACTTATGCGGTCATAAAATCATAAAAAGACAACCCTTAGTGTCAGCATATATACATTTTAGCTTTCATGTCTTATTATGGAGTATGATAGTGGATTGCCATTTCTACTTATTTAAATTAACATAATATGAAGAGAATAGTTCGTTTAAAATACAAATATTTTCTCAGTTTAAAGTTTATTTATGTCACAGGTTTGGGATAAATAAAACCTTTGTTGTGATATGAGACCTACCATTATGTTTTATAGTAAAATTTAATTGTTTCATATTTAAGTATTGAAGAATATTAGATGTGCTAAAACCCAAACTGAAAATGTGGACTGTATAACTTTGTGAAAGTATAACCATGGCTCCCAAGGCCATCTTAGACTTTAAAAAAAAATTAAACTCATAAATTCTGTGAAACAGGATAATGTGAAAGTGTGTTAAATAGATTCTTAGTGGTTTTATTCAGACAAATAATCACAGTATGAAAGCATTACCTATCAATAGTACTTTTAAAAAAGTCCATCCTTTTCTACTATTAACATTTTTCATTTCTAGGTAAAATTATTAAATTTTATTAAATTTAAATAAAATATTAAATTAAGAAAAGTTTTGGAAATTAACAAAGGCAATGGTAGAGAATCTATACCGGCAAAAAGTACTTCATAATGGAACAGAGATACAGATAGCTTAAATAATCTATATAAGGAAATTGATCAAGAGTCACAATAGAAATTTATAGTACATATTTTAGAGAGATCTCCCTTAATGAATGATTCTGTTACTAAATGAATAAGTTATCTTTTTCAAACTTCAGTTTGCATTCTATTGTTTCTTTTCAGCTGAATCTCAAACAATACTTAAATGTCATCATTTAATCAGTTGCTTAAATAATGTTCCGCAGACTTGAGTTTGGGCACTCAAAAAGGGAAGTTTCTGCTTAACATTATATATGAATATAAGATACAAAGTTAAATACTGATTCCATATTTTCTAATTTGCCATGAATTGCTAGCTTGCTGTGTGCATCATTTTTATACCCCATAAGAGTACACATGCTCATGCACACAGCTCACACCATGTTGTGTTCCCAGTGCACTTACTGATGTGCTAAAACTCCTGTCAAAATCATTAAAGGTATTAATTTTTATATTCTTCTAAATGGTGATATTATTGGTCATATTTAAAAAGTATACTAGATGACATCATCATATTTGTATAAGTACTTTTGAATTAGTATTACAAGCAGAATGTCATAAAAAGAGGAAAAGAATTTTTAATATTTGTGTTGTAATACAACAAATAGATACAAATGTTTGAAATAATACACAAAATAATGGGTACAAACAAAATGATACAACCAAAAATACAGTCACGCGTCACTTAACAATGGGGATACGTTCTGAGAAATGCGTCGTTGGGTGATTTCATCCTTATGTGAACATCATGGAGTGTATTCACACAAAACTAGATGGTATAGCCTACTATACACCTAAGCTATCTGATACTAATCTTATGGGACCACCATTGTACATATATGGTCCATCATTGACCAAAACATCATTATGTGGGGCGTGACTGTACAATAACAATTATAATTAGACAAAATAGATTTCTTAAATTCCAGTGAGAATTTCAAAACTTCCTTTTTGGGGCACAAAGGACCATAAATATTATCTAAGCAGGATAAATATTAAGATAAATAGGAAAACAGCGATAACTACATTTTAAAATATATTTTACTAATACATTGATTTGAAAAGAATGAGTATTTATTACAGTTACCTTTATGCATAAAAAGATAAAAAGAAAAATGTTATGTACATATTTATAAACAATACATCCAAAAACATAAATTTTTGATACGTATAGAAAAAAATGATGCCACCTTAAGGGGGAAAAAAAGTAAAACATCACATAAGATCATGGGCTTTTAGTACAATACTGACAGGAATTTAGCTAAAATGGTATTAATGTCAAATAGTGCTGGCTTTCTAGCTCTGCAATATATTAATCCCCAAAAATACATATGAATTTGAAAATACGAATGATCAGAGTACTGTGTAAGCTTTAAAATTAACATCTATAAAGTAAGAGTAACATTTAGCAAAATGCAAAAGAGTATTAAATAAGGAAAGGTCACTGAAAATGCTAGAAAACTAAAATCGTATTTTATTATTTAATCTGATTCACATTTGAAATTAATTCAGGAAGACATTATATAGTCCAAATTTTGATGGCGATCCCTAAGTGGTAATAATAATAAATACACAAATTTCCCAATTTTTTTCAAGAGAAAATGCTATCTAATCTGTGTAAGTTCTCATCAACACTGAAATACCAGACACTGAGTTGGGGGGTGAGGGGTATATTACAGTCTTCTAAATGTTGTAAAAAATATATTTTATTTCATTACACTGATAAGGTATTTAACACAGCTAATGAAGTACAGTGATGATATTCAAGTTATTTGTGATAACTACAGTGACATTTATGAAAAAAAAATTCAAACGAGAGAAAGGTGTTTGTTTTTTGGTTTTCCAGATTCTCCTGTGTAGAAGGGAAAAAAATAAACCCATAACCGACTCAATTAAATAAGGTGATTTCTAAGTGGTACTTACTGGCATGACAATGTTGTAGTGGATGCAGAAGCCCGGTTCAGAAGGAAAATATTCATCTGATACAAATCTTATCCTGATTTGATTTCCTTTAGAAATCTGTTTCCCTGGCACAGTGCCAGAACCACACCAGCGCCCTAATATAGTTCCATCACTGGGTTCCTCAATTTCTACAAAATCATACCTGCAAAGAGACAAAGAGAAAAGAGACATCAAGTCTTGATCTGTTATTCTGGCAATTCAAATTCCATGTCTGTGAAAGCAATGAATCTATGGACAACGGTTATGAGTTCATCCCAAATTTAACTGAGTAAACATAATCAAATATTCCAAAGAACAGACACAATTGAAAATGCATTCCCAACTAAAGAAATATATCTTCTATTCTAAGCCTTCCAGTTTTACTGTTAATGAACTCCAAATTCACTAAATGGCCATCTCAAAACTTAAATATTTTGCATAGAGCAACCATATCTGACATTCAATTCATGAATTACTCAATTTGACTTCCATTTGGACATGAGAGCCTTACTCCAATCTTATTTTCTATTATTATTGCCCATTAATTTCTGAGAGTAGCTCTTTTACCCTAGTCAGGCTCCTTGGCTCCTTTTTCTCATCTGTGATGCAAGCTTTTCTAGAACTACTTCATTATATACACATCCTTCAAATCTCGCTTTGTGCTGTACTGACTCTATGAGACCTTTCTGGGTGTTCTCAGCTCACCATCATCTTTCTGTTTTTGATAAACACAATATTAACTATATATATGCAACTGATCCATCTTAGTCAGGCTGTTAAATCCTTGAAGAAAGGAATTCGTTCTTACAGACTTTTATTTATTTTATTTTATTATTTTATTTTATTATTTTATATTTTATTTTATTATTTTACTTTATTCTATTCTATTTTATTTTTTTAAATTTTATTTTATTATTTTATTTTATTTACTTTTTTGTGAGGAAGATCAGCCCTGAGCTAACATCCGTGCTAACCCTCCTCTTTTTGCTGAGGAAGACCGGCTCTGAGCTAACATCTATTACCAATCCTCCTCCTTTTTTTCTTTCCCCCAAAGCCCCAGTAGATAGTTGTATGTCATAGTTGCACATCCTTCTAGTTGCTGTATGTGGGATGCGGCCTCAGCATGGCTGGAGAAGCGGTGCGTGGGTGTGTGCCCGGGATCCGAACCCGGGCTGCCAGTAGCGGAGCGCTCGCACTTAACCGCTAAGCCTCGGGGCCAGCCCAGATTTCTATTTTATACTGCACTACACACAGTATCTTAAACACAGGGAATAAATGATTAATTTTTTCTTAACAAATGTTAACTTTGGTTTGGAAGTTTTAGATCAGTGGTACTCATCCAGAGCTGCTGTACTGTCCCTTAAGAGAATGTTTCAGAAATCTGTAGAGGCATTTTAAGTTGTCTCCATAACTGGGGGTGAGAAGGGCATTATGAAATGTTGTGAGCAAGGTCCATGGATGTTCAACAATAGAAAGCCTCGAAAATGAGTATTTGCCCTATGCCCTTCATGCCTTTTAAACAGTTCAGTGGACATTCGTGTAGGTGAAATTTATGCTATCATTCATCTGAATCTAGAACTTAATATTGTCTCACATATAAATCCAAATACGTTTCTCATTTTTCATTTAATCCAAATTTTCCACAAATTCAACTATCAAATAAGTTGAAAAAAGTTTTAATACTTTGGAACTTTACCAAGAGTTACTCACTATTTTGGAAAAACATATCACTAACAGGAACACTGCTTATATGATTTGCATCGTATAAGTGTTTTAACAATTGAAACAATTAAACATATCCAGACTAGTCTATATCTATAGCTGCCATATTCACGAGTCTACTTAAAAGATGCAAACGTCTTTTATTTTTCTAGTATAGTATAATTGTGCATATGTATTACATGTTGAAATACATTATTTTAATATAAATTATTTTGTTATTATTTCAGCTTTAAATAGGATGCAAGCCATTATATTTGTTTTTTAAACAATTGCACACATAAATAGATGCTTGCTTCTATGAAGTGCATTTCAGAATACTAAAGAAGATATGGCAAAACTTTTCTTAAAAGGGAGGTCTGACATGGTTGAAAACCATTGATAGATCAAAAAAAAAAAAAAAAAGTCCAGGAGGCAGGTTCAAAATGGCAGCGTAGGAAGACTCTGAACTCACCTTCTTCCACAGACACAAGTTTAGAGCTACATGTGGAATAATTTTCCTCTGAAAAGGACCTGAAGACTAGACGAATAGCACCTCCACAACAAAAGATAAAAGTGATGCATAGAGAAGGGTAGGAGAGGCAGAGAACGGCCTCGCAGGCACTCCACCCCAGGCACGGTGACCCACAATTGAGTGGGACCCCAAAAATATTCAACCCCCCCCAGAAGTGAAGGGATTGTTCCCCACATCAGCCAACTTGAGGACCCTTGGGGATGGCACTGAAAAGACGAGCCCCTCAAATCTCTGGTTTTGAAAATCAACAGGGATTAAGATCAGAACTGTAGGGAATGGAGAACTTGCCCACAGAGCGCTCATGCATAGACCCACCCACCCTGAGATCCAGTGCAAAAGCAAGTTTAAAAAGTGCCTAGACCATAAGAGAGGGAGATTCACTCACTAATCTTAAAGGGGCTGCCAGACAAGCAGGAATCTGCTGGTACTTTGTCTGCAGACAGAAGCACTGGTGGAAGCCATTTTTGCAATCTCATTGTAACTTGCTGGTGACAGAGTAGACAGGCTCTCCCTTTAGCCTTCATTTTTGATGCCCTCCCTCTAGCCTTCAAATGCTAGTGTTTGTGCTCTGCTCACTCTGTGCCATAACCAGGCTGGGTGAGTGCCCTGTGCTCCACCCACCTGGCACAGCATCCGAGCCACATGTGGGCCCAGAAAGTGCCCTGAGCCCAGCCCTTCTCAGGCAGCAGCTGAGCCATAACTGGGTGGGGAAAGTGACCTGAGTCCTTTTCACCTTGTGCCCAGACCAAGCTACAACTATGACAGGTGAGCACATCGAGCCCCGCCCACTGAACACAGAGACCGAGCTGCAAATGGGATGGGCAAGCACCTTGAACCTTGCCCTCTCTACCTAGAAGCCAAGCCACAACCAGCAGGGAGAATGTCCCATGACCCGCCCACCTTGCACCACAACCATGGCCCTACCTCAGCCTGCGGGCCCTCGCAGCCCAGATGAGGGACACCGACTGAATGCCTGGCTCTGGAGGCCAGGGAATATTGCACTTCTGGGCCGCACAGGAACATCTACACAAGACCACTCCTTTAAGATGGAGAGAAGTAGCCAGTTTGCCTAATACATATAGACAAACACAGAAAGCAGGTAAAATGAGGAAACAAAGGAACATGTTACAAACCAAAGAGGAAAACAAATCCCCAGAAAAAGACTTTAATGAAACAGAGATAAGCAACCTAGCTGATAAAGAGTTCGAAGTTATGGTCATAAAGATGCTCTCCAAACTCAGGAGAAGAATGGATGAACACAGTGAGAACTTCAACAAAGAGATAGGAAACACAAGAAAGTACTAAACAGAAGTTATAACTGCATGGAAAAATACACTAGAGGGGTTCAATAGTAGACTGGATGAAATGGAAGCATGAATCAGCGACCTGGAGGACAAAGCAATGGAACTCACCCAGTCAGAGCAGTAAAATGAAAAAAGAATCAAAAAGAGTGAGGACATATTAAGAGACCTCTGAGAAGACATCAACTGGAATAACATTCACATTATATGGGTCTCAGAAGAAGAGAGAAATTGTCAGAAAAAATATGTGAAGAAATAATGGCTGAAAACTTGCTTAATCTGTGGAAGAAAACAGACATCCAGATCTAGCAAGCCCAGAGAGTTCCAAAAAAGATGAACCCAAAGAGAAATACACCAAGACACATTATAATTAAAATGGTAAACATTAAGGATATAGAGAGAGTCTTAAAAGCAGCAAGAGAAAAACAACTTATTATGTACAAGGCAAACCCCATAAGGTTATCAGCAGAATTTTCAGCAGAAACTTTACAGGCCAGAAGGGAATGGCATGACATATTCAAAGTCCTGAAAGAAAAAAATTTCCAACCAAGAATTCTCTACCTGGCAAGTTTGGCATCAGAAATGAAGGAGAGAATAAGAGTTTCAAGATAAGCAAAGGTAAAGGAGGTATTACCACTAAACCAGCATTACAAGAAATGTTAAAGGGACTCCTCTAAGCTAAAAAGAAAAGGGACGAATCAATAACAAAAAAAATACAGAACTAAAAATCTCACTGGAAAAGGAAATAAATAATAAAGGTAGTGGATTAATCACTTATAAAGCAAGTATGAAAGTTAAAAAACAAAAGTAGTAAAATTAACTAAAATTACTATAATTAATTAAGGAATACATAAAATAAAAAGATGTAAAATGTGTCATCAAAAATACAAAACGGGGGTGCAGTAAAAATGTAAAGCTTGGGAATGTGTTCAAATTTAAGTTGCAATCAATTTAAAAGAAACTATTATATACTTAGGATGTTGTATGTGAACCTCATGGTAACCACAAAGAGAAAACTTACAATAAATACACAAATGAGAAAGAAATCCAAACATAACACTAAAGAAACCCATCAAACCACAAGAGAAAAAAGAAATAGAAGAAAAAAGAAACAGAGAAGAACCACACAAACAGCCAGAAAACAATTAACAAAAAGCTAATAAGTACATACCTATTAATAATTACTTTAAAAGTAAATGGAAAAAATTCTCCAATCAAAAGACATAGGAATGGATTAAAAAAATAAGACCGATCTATATGCTGCTTACAAGAGACTTGTGTCACATCTACAGAGACACACAGACTGAAAGTGAAGGGATGGAAAAAGATATTCCATACAAATGGAAATGAAAAGAAAGTTGAGGTAGCAATACTTATATCAGACAAAACAGATTTTAAAACCAAGACTGTAACAAAAGACAAAGAAGAGCATTACATAATGATAAAGGGGTCAACACAACAAAAGGATATAATATTTTTAAATATCTATGCACCCAACATAGGAGCATCTAAATATATAAAGCAAATATTAACAAACATAAAGGAAGAAACTGACAGCAATACAATAATAGTAGAATAATTTAATATCCCACTTCCATCAATGGATAGATCATCCAGACAGAAAATCAG